ACGGCAAAGAAACAACTGAGCAGTGTCCGGATCGTCCTGGTCCATCAGAGAGGACAAAAAGGGCTGTCAAGAGGAGCATCGAAATGGATCCCAGATTAACGACTGCAGGAGTGGCCAAAGTTGGTGAGATAAGCCCGAAATCTGTTCAACAGATTCTCCACGGATTGGGTTATCGTTGCAGAGCAGCTAGACAGAAGCCCTTATTATGACTTGCCAACATAGTAAGACAAAAGAAGTGGGCAAGTGATATGATGACCAAGCCTCTGGACTTTTGGAAGACCGTATTGTTCTCAGAAGAATCAAGATTCGCTCAATTTTCAGACAGTGGAAGGACATGGGTCTGGAGAATGCCTCACCAAGAGTTTTGGCTCAACAGATTGCAGCCACCTGTGAAGCATGGTGATTTCAGCGTGATGGTTTGGGGAGCTGTTTGGGTTGGTGGGAGATCGAGCTTAGTGGAGTGCATTGGCAATATAAATTTTGCGAAATACGTCGAAATATTGGAGGAAGGACTCTTGCCACTTTATTCCTCAGGTTTCGTGGACAAGAACACAACGTTGTTCCAAGAAGATGGAGCACCGTGTCACACTGCTGGAAACACCCAAAAGTGGCAGGGAGAAAATGGTATCCAGAAGTTGCCCTGGCCGAGCCAATGGTTAACAAATGGTTCAGCTTTTTATAATTTTTTAAAATACCCTTCTTTTATTACCTTAAAATGTTAAAGTTCTTCCTCTTATTTTTTCTATGTAAAGTTGTTCTATGTTTCTGATAATTTTTAATACTATTATTTAATCACCAGCTTTATTATACTATTTTTACTGTATTGTTTAATTCTCATTGTTCCATCTCACATTTCATTCTGTTTTCGTGTATTGTGTCATTATAAAACGTTCCTGTGATTGTCATTAACTGACAGACTTGTTTCTGGCTTGAAAAAAGAGTGATTGCTCGAAATTTTGCCAAATAAATAAATTATTACCATAGTTTTTAAAGTTGATCTTTCTCTAACAAGTCTAATTTCTTTATTTTATCACCTTGGCATTTTTCTATTTACACACACACATCTAATATTAATCATATTTGTATAGCTTACTTTATTAGAAGTCTACATGTTAATATACTTGTTTCTATGCTTTACAGTTGTACGCTTTGCAAGCTGAATACAATGTGACGAGTAAATTTTGCTTATCAAATGTTACATCTGAATTTTCTTGTGCTACATGACTGAAAATATTGTTGTACAGTAACACGTGCAGCAATATTGTACAACTTTCATGTAATACATGTAAAACAATATTGCTCCAATTATATATTTACCACAACATGATACATGCAGGTTTTCCATTGTCATAGATATAATAGTACCAGTAAGATTATGATGTAGTGTATAACATACTATATCAATGATGGTGTTGAATTATAATATATATTCAAGGATTAGAAGGATGGAACCTATGGCACATTAGATATTCAAATCCAGTTGTTGGATATACTGAGTATCACATGTAACGAAAAAATTGTGGCTATTTATAAAGTACCATAGAGGTTATTAAACTTCAAAATGAATGTTTAAAATTTATTTAAATATAACTTAGTGTATATTCTAAAAAATAACTACTTAAAATTGGACAATTTAGGACATTAGAACTCTTGGAAAGGAGCCAAGTTTCAACCAATAAAAAAATTAACTTAACTTGTATGAAAAAAGTAATAAAAAACATCTACTATAAGACAAAGAAAAGAAGAGTAAACAATAGGAAAATTTCTTACCCTTTTCTGCTTGTAACTGTTTAAATCTCTCTAGAAAACTCCCATCATTTTTAAAAAGATCCCCAGCAGCTGGCACATGTAGTTTATCACTAATCCACAAAATAAAAAAAAGACCATAAACAACACTAATTTCAACTAAAAAGTTACCTTGCATCTTATGTTGCTATTATTATATTATTAGGGGTACAGGAGCAAAATATGTGAGTACAAGGCTCTAGATGAAATGGAAAACTATGATGGGAAATACTAAAACTTGGTTAGATTTAGATAATACTGATAATAGGAATAATTTTGAAACTCCATATTATAAGTTATTTAATAGTGATAGATTTTTTAAAATAAAGGTGGGGTGACTTTTTATATAAGGGTTGGAATGCAGTCTGTTACGACTGAAGACAAAATTATTACAGTAAACAAGAGTTTTAATCTACATGGGTTGCAATCAGGGGATTCAAGTGAAGAAAATTTTATTTAACTGACAATTGTTATCACAACTAGTATTGCATAATGAGATCAAGGTTACTATTAATAAGAATACTAATGCAAGATTATAGGAAATTAATTTGAAACACATTGAATAGGATTGTATGGTTTCAGGACTTATTGATTCAGCATGGTTTTTCTTATAATAAATGGTCAGAAAGTAAATCAGGGATGCCATTTTAGATTTACTGTTAACCACTAATAAGGATATGGTTATGAGAGTTGAAGTGGTGAAACATTTGAGGAAGAATAATCATTACATAATTAGTTTATGTTAAGATAAATTATATTTATGTTAGTTAAGATAAAGAGAAATGAAATTTTAATTACTAATTTTCTGAAAGCCAATTCTGAAGCAATAAGACAAGATTTATCATTAATGAATCGAAACAATGAATGAAAAAGTAATGTGGAACAGATTTAGGAAATTTAAACAAAAATTGCTTTTATTCAAGATAAGGATTTTCCTAAAAAGATGGAGAGGATAAAAGGGAAATTTAAACTTAATTGGCTCACTAAAGACAGAAGAGAAAATTCTTGATAAATAACACAACTCACAGAAAGGTTGGAAGACTAAGAGAACAATAGGAAGGGTAGAGATGTGATTAAAAAAGATATAAGGATATCCAGAAAAACAGTTAACTAATAATATTAAAACTACCATCTTGAACAGTTTCTAGAAACCTGTCTCTCTCATTACTTGACTCTAATGTTTGTTAATCTATATGCCTGAAATTAAAATCTTCTATAATTATAACTTCATTGACAGTCTGAATTTTTTATCTCCAAGTAGTTTCTCATCATTTTCATCTAGTGGTCTGTAACAAATCCTAACGAAGCTTATTTCCCTTATAAACATTAACAAAAAGCCAAACAGATCCAACCTTAATGCTGTTAGCTATGATATCCTCAACTTGAAGATGCTATAATTTGCATTTTACATATAGCCACTTCCCCCTCTTTTTAGTATTCTATCCCTATAAAAAAAAACAACCTATAACTCTCTATTTCAGAAATTCCTTTCATTATAAATATCTAAATTTAACCTTGTATAACTGCCAGATTAGCCTATTATCATATACTAAAGGCCCTGTTCTTATGGGGCCTCATATCATTAAGAAATTGTTTTAATGTATTTCACTACAACGGAAAAAAACAAAAGAAAAAAAAAACATTTTGTGCCCTATCCAACAGGGCCTTGGAGCACTTCTGGAGCATATACTTTTTTTAATTGCTCTAGAGTGAATGTGTTTTACCACTCCCCTCTGGAGCCCCAATATCCACTCATGGAATGACAAAAACTTACAGACAACAGTGTAAGTTAATGAACATTTTGTTTTTATCATTATCACTATGCATATAAATGTGTGACATGTCTTGTGTATGATATACCAATGTGTCAATTATGCTGAATATGATGGACTAATCTGTCAGAAAATTTTCTGTATATAGTTATTTGAAAAACTGATGCAAAAATGAAGTACAAGATATGATTCAATTGAAAAATTGTATTAAACCTACAATGTTATCATCTGTTTGACAAAAATTTATATATATATGACCTATATATAATGGCATATAATTTAACTGTTTGGCATTTAAATCTATTATTCAGTATGTTAAGAAAAATTAAAATCTTAAAAATATTTTACCAAATATAGACTAAATAGCAAATAATTAATGATAGGAACTGAACTAGCTATCTTATAATATTTTCAATAGTATTAGTTAGTATAATAATATTATGTAGTTTAAAATTTTTATTTTATAAAGTAATATATTACAAGAGTTATTTCATTTTTTAGAAAAATATCAGCCATTTTTACTTAAAATACTTTTAATGAAAATTGAATAAAGCTGCAGTAGTCATACTAAAGTTTTAAAAATGAAAATGATAGTATAGAACATATTTTCTAGCAGATAGGGGCCCTGTCTTTTAAAAATCCTACAGGACCCACAGATGTTTAATCTGGCACTGTTCTCATATCAAAATCCTCTGTTCCACCAAGTGCTCTAAAGTCATCCATTTAATTTTTTATACTTCTAGCACTATAATAATAACAGTTTTGCCTACCATCAAAACTTCCTTTGTACCTTGTTCCCACACTATACCCTTCTCTCTATCTTATTTTTTCTTCATTACTCTAGCCCTCTCCACTGGCTAATCCTAGTTTAAAGTTGTCCCTTACAGTTGAGTTAATAGCCCTTGCAAACAAGCTAGCCCCTAGTCTATTTAAGTGCAAACCATAAATTCCAAAAAGATCCTTTTCCCCAATGAACTGATCCCACAAATCTAACTAACCAACCTGCTCATTCTTAAATATTAACCTAAGCTAGCAATCAGTCTTATAATTTTATCCCCACAATTAAGTCTTAGCAGTATCCCTTATAGAATTAGTTATTATGACCCTTTTCTCTGAACACTTGTACTGATCTTCTCTTCCGTACATCATAAGCCCCTATGTACACTACAAAGACTTCATTATTAATAGCACCCCTTTCCTATATCACTTGCTGTGTCAGTTATATCCTTCACCCCTGCCCTTTAATAGTGTAGTCAAACACTTTTCTCCCTATTTACTCCACAGACCATCTTATCCACTTGGCACACTAAAGAATATCTTATAACAATAACATCTTTATGTTTTTCATTCCCATCTCTATATGTCCCTTTTGTTATCCTTCTCTCCTCAAATTCATCATCTACACAAACCAAAGGCTGAAATCTGTTCTTTACCAGTCTGCTATTTATAACTAAATCTATCAACATTAGCCCTATTATTACTGCTTCCATTCTCCCAAAGGTCATCATTAGCCCTATATCTCTTGCATGCAAAAGCTCAATTTCCATTCTAAATCTTGCTGCCACCTCCCACAGTTTAATCTTTCTGTATTACTGTGACCATACACGTGGCAACATAACAGATAGATGTGATAATTATTTAAACCACATAACTATCTGTATTATTGCTATCAGAACTCCCACTCATTAGTATTAAGTAAAATGATATGTTTATAGAAATTCTATCTGATTCATCACAAAATTAATATCAGATCGAGATGCCAAGCAATCAAGCAAGGTGCCTCTAAACATAGCCTTTAAGTTCTAGTTTTATTTTTGGTTTCCTCCAGCAACAAAATTCAAGTTCCCTTTATTTTCAGCTCAGTCAGTCAAAGGTGTGTCAAAGGTGACAAACACTATCATCATACTCGGTTTCCAAACTTTTGACATAAGCCAATCAAACCACCAAAGCACTACATGCTGATCCATAATCTTCCAACTCAGCATGCTGAATACAGGCCAGTCAACATGCTCAATCTGATCTCTCCAGCAAGAGTATATCAACAACAATTACACACATCAGTTGCTATTGAAAGTATATATATTCTATTGACAGACATAACTGAATTATTAACAGATTATAAACAGGTGTTAATAATGACTGAAAAAGGCATCACGTGTCCTTCTTTGGTACATAGGTTTTGTAATTTTGATTGGATTGTTTGCCACAGGAGGTAATTGTTAATTACATAAGGTATGTATCATAAAGCAGTATCATTTTAAATTGTCCCTATGCATTAATTTACAGATATATAATTTCATTTTAAGCATATAAGCAAATCAAATTTACATATTGCTGCCCATTTTACTCCTTATGCATATCAGGGTAAAAGTGTTGGTTTGTGCATCTGGATTAAAAAAAATTGACAAGGTGGCACATAAAAAGCTTGTTACAGTTATCTCTCTAGGTGTGGGGTATAGACTGGTTCATTGGATAAAAAAGTGGCTGGATGGAAGGAAAAACAGAGGTGTGTTATAAATGGAGTTCAGTCAAATTGGGTTAACGTCACAAGTGGGGTACCTCAGAGCTCAGTGTTAGGACCTTTGCCCTTTTCTATTTACATCAATAACATAGATGAAAAAAATGGTCAGTAGATCATTTTACATTTGCTGAGAATAAAGTTTTGGGTGTTGCAGGCTGTGAAGAAGATGCTGCTGCTTTACAAAAGTACTTGGATTATTAGACAAGTTGGATGAATAAATGGTAGATGGCTTTTAATTAGAGTTGGGCAATTAGTGATATTTGATAAATGATTAATTGATGGGCTCATTTATCAATTAATACACCATGCCACCACAACCCATGCAAGAAAAAAAAAGAAAACAGGTATGTGCTTACCATCTTAACTTTTTTAACCACCAGATTATTTTTAATATGCTATTAATTTTCCTATTTTCTTATACATTGTTTTAATTTTTTAAGTAATTTTCAAGTTACTCATGATTTCATATAACTGACTTCTTTTGAAGGTGGTCATTTGCATATTTGTGAAATACAATTTTTTGTCAAAAAAATATTCTCCCACAAGTCTTATAGAACTACCCCCTTATCAGATAAATCATTAATGTTGACTAAATACCATCATAAAATTGCTATTATTTGTTTTTCAACTATGCAGTAATCCCACACTGATTTTACATAAATCAAATAGATTGATAATTAAATAATGAAAACATGTTTTACTCTCACAATAAAGATAATAATGTACTGTATTTGCCAGTGTATAAAGCAGCTTTTTACTTATAAAACAATGCTTGATTTTA